AGCAGCAGCAGCAGCAGGAGTAGTACTAGTAGCAGAAGGAGAGCCGGTACAAGTAGCATCAGCAGCAATAGCAGTAGTACATGTAGGGCGTGCATGCTGTGGTGCTAATAGACATGGCAGCAATACATTCGGATGTGGCAGAGATGTGGTCTATGGGGTGAGGTGGGGCTGAACGACAGAAGTGCTGTGCAGGACCAAATCTCGAGCTACCGAACACGCAGCGCACGTCGACAACCGTCGACTTTTTCCACGGCCCAGTGCGGAGGGAACGATCTCTTCTCATGTCAGAGCTTGTGTTGTCAAGAGATGGTCCCGTTTTGGTACAATCGGTTCGTGTTGCATACTGTATCCATGAGCTGCCGAAGTTGGGCGGATTGTCAGCAAAGGAGTGCACTGTTTCGGGCTTTGTCCAGCAGCCAGTCCTCCTGCTTCTTCACCCTGTAACAACAGAGTTAGTTCAGGTAGGATAAGGGCTGGATTAGAGAGGTTGTACACGGGTCCCATTGCTTCTATCGTGCCCTCCGGCCTGAAGTCACCACTTGCTCCGCCTCGAGGTGATGCCAAATCAGCATTCTCGAGGTTCGGAGAAGCACCGTATCTGTGCTCAAGCCAGAAGGAAAATGTGAGAAGCATAGGAACATGGAGTAGAAACAGCATCTGCCCTACTTCTTCCAACCGATGTTTCGCCACCCCATGATGGGGAATGTAGGCCTGGGGACCCTTCGGCAATGACGTGCAACCCTCTTTCCCTGCGGTGTGTCAGACTGGTAGACACAGTAGACACAAGCTCCACACAAGCTCGATATTCGGCCTAAACCTCCCGCACGGGTGCATGCCGATCGGAGGGCTTCTACACCCAACAGCTATTTCTTTTCTCGAGCTTGTCCTTTGTATCGCCTGATTCAAGCTGTTTTTTTCGCTGAAAAGGACGGAAAGTGGCAAGTAAGCATGTGAAAGGATGAGTTCGATAACGTAGATCTGTTTCACAACGGCGCCCTCATCTGCTGAGCAGCGGGAGATTGTGGTTGCAACACCTCCTTCTTTGCAGACTGTGAGAGGAAAAGGCGTCGGCTCTAAACTCCAGAAGCTCTTCAGAGCTGAGCTCGGATCTGAGAGTGGAGCTCACAGCTGAGCTCGTCAATATGGAAGCCAGGAAGCCTTCACCTAGGGACGATGGGGGTTCTGCGTACCTCACATCCAGGGATGTGGGGTTCTGAAGCTTGAGTAACCTGGTTGGATGATGTTTTTCGTTCGCGATGGCGCGAACCCGTTTGTTTCTGGCTGATCCAGAAGGCCGGCCAGGAAGGGTTACGAAAGAGAAGCTGCGGCCCGTTCAGGAACAGCACTACCGGAGGCCAAGACGCGAAGAGCAGATACACCCCTTGATCCTCGCTCTGCACTGAGCGCCCCATTGCCAAACCGCAAATTTCTGTCTGGTAGAGTTGTGGGTATACAACATTCCCCTCAGCTTGGAACAAATTTCCGGGCAAGGTGCTGACTCTGACCGAAAGGTCCGTGGGCCCTGCTTGGCCAAGCCAATTGCAGGGGGCCACCGCAGATCTAGCACTGTGCTGCGTGGCTGGGGCTTGTCCAGTGGTTCTTGGCCAGTTAACCGTCACGTTATGGTAACGACAGGTCATCGGAACCGCCGGGTAAACCTGTTGAGAGCAACAGAGGCGATTCGTAGTAATCGGTCAAAACTGTGACAACGCACATCGCTGTAATGGAGAAGAGCTACAAGTACCCAGCACTTTGGCAGATAAATACCAACCATGGCAGCACCAGAAACAGCAGCAAGAGTAGCAAGACTTAGCAAGACTGATATGCCAGGTAGGAATGGTAAGAACAGCATTAATGGCAGGACCAAGAAGACTAGCAAGGTCAAAACATCAGGCAGAATGGAAAGGAAGAAGCCAGCGGAACAAGAGAATGAATCAATGGCACTGGTAGTAGTAGTCGTGGTGGTGGTTGTGGTTGTGGTGGTGGTGCACTAGTGGCGCTAATGACAGGAGGTGGCACAGTAGGTGGTGGTAGCAGGCGTCGTCGTCATGACGTTGTAGACTTGTCGCGTTGTGGGGGTTCGTGAACAGAAAACGAGTCCAAAGCGGCTTCTAGGCAACCGTGGAACTCCCAGACCTATGCCTATAACCCGAGCTGCCGGAATGCGATCCTGTGCTCAAGTTTCATGGCGTTGGGCACAGATAGCAGGCGATTTCGCCGAAGAGCCACTGCAAAGCTTCCGTTTGGTATCAGACATCTCACTGAAGGACCCCCTTTACCGGACACCGGCGATTCACTCACAAAGGGCTTTGTCGAGGCATTCTCCGGAGGCTCAGAATTGACAGTACTCTTGGCCTGCTTGCGGCGCCTATGCATGCTGTTCCTAATTTTTTGGTCCCGGCACCACGGCCACTCACTGACAACTTGAAGCTAGGGAGCGAATCACCCACATAAAAGCATGTCAACTCCGACAGCATGTGCTTGGGTCTTGTTCTGCTTCCTGTCTCGTCATTACGCCATTTTTGGCGGATGGTCCCCAGCGCCACCACCGTCACCTCTGGCCACCATCATCATCATCGTCATAATCATGGGCATGATCATCGTCATTCATCATCGCCATCAGCATCATCATCGGCATCGGCATCGGCATCACCATCACCATCGCCATCACCATCACCATCACCGCCTCCACCACCATCACCACCATCTTCTTCCGACGTGGCAAAGAAAATGCCTTACCGTCCTCTGTTGGGACCGGCCTTTCGCGATGGCAGGCTCGCAGGACACGTTTGTGACGTCAGCAAATAATTAACCTGCGCCGAGGCGCCTTTAAACACATAGGCTATCACCATCATCGCCATCATGATGATGATGATCACATCATCACCGCAACTGTATATTCGTCATCATCATCTTCATCACCATCAACATCATCATCATCATCAGCACCCGCGTATTTACTTCCAGCGGAGTGCAGGGATGGAGCACAAGGCGTCGAAGTGATATGTCCAGTTCTGTTCGGGCAGAGACGCGATGACACGTGGCATTCAGTGAGATGAGCTGTCGAGACCTTCTCGCTGAAACCACCCTGGCCCCTTGAGCCAGTGGAGAATTGGCTGCGCGCCCGGGGCTTGTGTGTTCAAGGCTTCCGGGGGTCAGCGCAGCAGGAGTCCATCCGGGGGAATCCTGGGGGTCTCGGGTCTCTTTCGATTCTCATTTCCCAAGAGGCGCGTTTCTCTGGCTTGTGACTCTGAAAAAGCCGTGTGGCAGGAAGCTTCAGACTAAAGCCTGGTTCGTCTAGGCTTTGGAGTCCCAGGGCAGAGTCCAGCCCCGAATCCTCCGGCTCTTGAAAGAGCTCGGAATGGCCTCATCACCCCTTCAAAAGCCTCGCAAGAGAGCGACAAGCGGCTGTAGCTCGAAAAAATGCCGGCTCTCTCGGACTCGCGGGTTTGATGCAGCTTGTTTTGCACTCCTGGGTTGCCGATGTCATTAGTTCAGCAAGTCTGCTACGACCCGGGTCACGGAAATCCCAAAGCCGAAACTCCGCGGTTGGCAGCATTCTGTTAGCTTTGAAGGCTGGGCTGGAAGATGGTTCGAGGTTGAATGTGCGCTAGCCTTTTGTAATGGATTGTGGCCATACTTCAACCGCCCCGATGCCCGAAAGCATCGAATGCCACTACACTGGTCGGCAGGCCCTGTTCAAAGTCCAGCCGCTCGTCAAAGGGGAAAAGGTTGTGGTGGCTTCTTCACTGTGGTTGTCGGTTCCCAGAGAGGAGTTTGCCAGGGATCCGCCAGCTGTGGAGCCTCGACCATTGCGTGCAATGCGTGGATGAGAGCCTTTGGGGCTGGAATCGAATCATGCGACTCATCCGGGCTTGATATTGGGAATGTATCGGTCTGACACTAACAAGGGCTCCCTTGTTTTTTACCAGGTGTGCAGGGACCAACAGTGTGTGCGAAGAGGAACGTGGAAGTCACCTACCTGGACGAATGTCCGGGTCCGAGGAGCTCCTGTGACGATTGTATCTCGGGTCCCATTTGCCTGGGAGTTCTGCAGGCATGCGCCTTTAAGACGTGGCGATAGCCTGCACTTTGTTTTGAGTTGCTGCGGATGCCTTCAACCTTGAAGATGCAATACTGGGCCATGGGTTTCAGGGGCATCTTCAGGCCGAACGACAATGGCTGAGGTCGGATTGTCACCGCAGGCAGAAGGCCTTTGACAGAGACGGTCATGTATTAAGTTTACTTCACCAATTCACGCCCAGATCCACATCCTCGGCATGCTGATTCCAACATGAGATGCCTGGCCCAGGCAAAGATGCGAGGCGCCGTGCTTGGTTTGACGCACATCGCAGCTTCCCGTCAAAAGGTAGCCGGATGAGAGTGGTGCAAGGAGCAGTCCCATGAACTGTAGAATTGTCCTGTGCTCACGGTAAAGTCGCAAGCTGGAGTTGGTTTGTAGTGCATGCTTTCCAGGAGCAGACCGAAACCCCTGTGCAGTCCACGTCCACATTCGTCCAGGGTCTTGAAGCGCATCGTCAAGAGCGCCAGCCCCTCCTTGCTGGGTCGCCGGAGCCCCTGGTCTAGCGGAGTCTAGCGGTCTCGGGTATTCTCATATGCTTTGTCACCGACGCTCAAAAAGTTGCGAGCTTCGAGGCAGTTTCAGAGAAAAGAGACCACGCTGCAGTCTCTGAGGCATGTTGGATCTGCGGAATCCCAAGGCTGGCAGGGAGGAGGGCTGGGTGTGTCACTGTGTGACTGAGGCCTAATGAGAGGGGTGGAGGTAGTGAAGGTTTGAGTGGAAGCTGAAGCGGCAGCAGCGGCAGCGGCAGGATGTGGCAGTGCTGAGGGAGGAGCTCTGGACCGTGGACCGCTGCGGCCAAGGTCTTCGCGCGTTTTCTTGGAAGCTTCCCGTGTTGCGTGCGTTTAGCCTTCTCCGATGTGTTGTAAGAATTTGTAAGAGTTTCAGCGGCCAGCGATAGCGCAGAGCGAAGGCCAGAATTTCCGCCCCTATGACGGTTCCAGAGCAGACGAAGCTTTCTGAAGGAGCAGACTACAAGGTCCGCTATTACAAAGAAGGTGCAGCCCGGTGACCAGCATGGTTGCGCTGCAGTCCACGAGTGCAGGGAGCTAGGTACCATTTAAAGCCCCTGCTGAGCCTGCTCCTGCAAGTCGCACGGATGGGGCGGCAAGGGGCCGCGTACTACCGAACACTTAGACTTGCAACGCTTGCGATAGATGCCAGGGATACTTCTGATAGCTCGTTGGTCGCAGAACAGCTGCCGCGAAAGCCCGAAGAAAACATGATGACGCTTTCAAGCCTCCAAGTCCAAAAGTGTTTTGAGTGGGACCTGCCGACACCCCGACAGATGCAAACCTCGAGATGGCCTGACAGAATGCTTGCCCTGTCCGGAAGGCGGCGACGGCTTCTCAGCCTCTGTGCTGCCGACATCCCCCAAAGATTGCTGGCGGGCCTTGAGGCTCTGTCAGGGCTTGATGTTCAGGGTAAACCCTGATATTTGTTTGTCCTTCAGCACTTTACGGTTTCGTGTCTAGGGGGCGTCGTTCTTATTCGGGTGTCGATGTGGGGTGTGAGATTCAGTAATACTTTTCATCCCCTGTGCATCCACACTGATAATTTCGGATCTGTACATCTTAAGAAGCGTTATGTGCTGGCGAACTTTTCCGGACGAACTCCTCATTGCAAAGTTCGAGCCTTACGCTTGAGCACCGCGCGACTTGGTGAAGAGCACCTCATGAGACGGAAGCAGATGAATGGTTTCTGTCAAGTAACAGCAATGTTCGTTGCATGCAGCCCATCAGAAGGAAAGCTCCTCCCTGAAAACGTGAGGCACTTCAAACGGTGAAAGCACAGATTCGCACGACCGATTGCATCATGAGGGTCCAAGGCTGATTGCATGTGCAGTATGGGCCAAGCCGCATAACATGGTGCAGCGTCCATGTGTTTTGCCACATCCTGGCTAGTGCCTGACGTCCAGCCATGGCAGGTTCTACTTTTCGGGGGACTGATGGGCGACCACTCGCCATGCCCGAAGAAAAGCTTGCAATTGCCGCTGCTTCGCATTCGATTCGTGGCCTTTGTGTTAGATCACACAGGCGGAACCCAACAACCTAATCTACCGCAGAAAAGATTTGCATCCGAAACGTCAGGGTCTCGCACAACTGTCCGGAAGCAACTCCGGCCAAGAGGCTAGCCTTAGGTGATGGGGTGGCTTAACTAGCGCCGAGACTTGAAAGCTCTGAAACTTAGTGCGTGCCAGAGCGGCTGATCCAGCGCCGCCGAGGCTTTGCAGTGTAGTGCTACAGGGAGGTGGTAGGGCGGCTGACCCAGCGCCGCGTAGGCGGAAAAGGCAGCAGGTGGTTTGCAGGCTTATGTGGTTGTGGTTGTTGTTGTTGGCAGTGGGTTGGGGTGCTGGGGGATTCCAGCCTATGGGTAGGGGGTCGGGCTTAAGGGGTTACGAGTAGGGCTTGGGTTGGGGTCAGTAGGTTTAGGATTCAGGGCGCATCCCTTTGCAACCGGGCCTGGAACGTTTGAGGTGCACGAAACTGAGGAGTAAGCATTGCCGGTCTTTAGCTCGGCTGCTCGGCTGTTCTCAGCCCGAGCCTATGTCTATGAAAGGATAAGTTTTTGGCTGAGTGTCCGGTGAATCTTTGACGTACTTACGCACATGCCAACGTTGTTGGTGTAAGCCTGTGCTCCAGCTGCTCTGCGAGAAACTCGCCGCTCCATACGACGTAGATACGTGCGGTCGACAGGCGGTGGCGGCAAGTCATACCTTTTTCAAGGGACCGTTAGATCAACCGCAGATGGGGATCCACGCAATCTACACATGGAGCCTCCTCCTACGCCAGTAAAGGCCCCTGAATCCGCCCAATGCACTCCCAACATTTGTCAAGACACCCTGCCTATTCGCCAAACACCTCGTTTGCTTGCTTGCATGTTCGACTTCGACCAGTTGGACCAGTTGGACACGCTGCAGGCCAGAGCTTTCGAACCTTCGGATTTAAGGTTGCAGGCGAATTCGTTGTAGTTTTGGAGGGCTAGTGTCAGCACTCCTCTTCTCATGGAAGCTCCCGAACCTCACACCCTGGTCCTAAACCTACTTGAGCATTGCCGGCTTCAAATCCGACGCACAAGACCCGCTCGCCTATGGTTCTCTTGGCACAGAAATCGGACGCTGCAACCCGTGAGCACGCACAAAACGAACTCTCCTGTAGGATTTCGATCGGCTTCAGAGCTGAAGACCTTCAGGCATAAGATTTCGAGGGAAATGGGGTCATATGGTGCTTATTACGCTTATCGGGAGGGTTTAGGTAAACCCTGAAACCCCAAAGGCCAAAAGGCTCTTTACACGGCTTTTGACTTGATTTTCCAGACCAGATAAACGAAGTGTTGGACGGTAAGTCAGCAAACGACAACAAACTGCAGTACACAAAGCATGCTTGAGAGGTATAGGTGCATCTTGTAATTATGTCCGAGAGTAATTCAAAGTCCACGTGATGAGGGGTCAGCGTGTATATCAACAACACCTCATTTACAGGATTGCTTTAGAAGGGGCCTATAGTCTAGGAGAGGTGTTGAGACGGCCTAGTGCTTTAACCTGAGGTTGGGGGTTAGCATATATATATATATATAGAGACACGTAGACATACATACATATCTGTTCTCCCTTCCTAAACTCTTAATCCCGAAATTTGAACACACCCTTAGGCCCCATTGATGCTGTGACCCAGCAGGGCTATAAGACGATGCAAGCAGTATCGATGTGTGTAATCCTGGACGCTGCAACTTAACATACATGCTTTGGTGTCCCCCTCGCATGTTATCATGATTCAATTGAAGCGCTTTACTAGGAGAACTGGTTCAGGATATCATAAGCGCACAGGCAGCCTGAAACTTACACGGATAATCATGATGTCTGTTTTCTCCGATGTTTTGCAAACTCAGTGGCAACCGTATCGTTTTGTTGGCTGGTGTATTCACATTGGACGAACACCCACAACAGGTTGCTACGCTCCAAGCACTGGCAGCAGGGGGTTTTGCAGCTGGCCGCTAGCCGGAGAAAAAAAGGCATAGACGCCAGAAGTAGATTCAAGCCAACTCGTGTTTGGCTGAAGATCCGTTGGGCCCAAACTCACTGCAACAAGTCTGGCTGTGAACCGTAGAGAGCTGGAATTCCGATAGGCAGTCAGCAGTCGATCTCCTGTGCCTAGCTACAGGAACATCACAAGCAGTTGTACCTCGTTTGTAGCATGTGTCCATGTAAAGATGAGTTTGGGTGTGTGTCTGCAGGAGGCCCAAACGCTTGCCCGTCCTGTGCTCCAGCTGCTCAGCGAGGAACTCACTGCTCCATGTAACATAGATTGGTGCGGTCAACAAGCAGTGGCGGCAAGACAGCCGAAGCTAGCACGAAGCATGACCGGTCAGCACAAAAAACAGTGTACCACAGATGGTCTTATGGGGCAAGTTTGAGGAGGACAGGAGGAAAGGAGCAGCATGCTTCCTCAGTACAAGTGTCAGCTCTCTCATCATATAGCCTAGTGCCCTCCTTCCCCCCTTGCGGCCATGTCCCCGCAAAAGTCGCTCAGTGCCGTGCGCCCAGTTAGTGAGGGAATCACTGCTCCTGGCATTTCGGAGATTAGTTCACCGGAGCGATGCAAGAAAGAACGCACCGCAGTACTGGATCGAGCCCGTGCCGGGTGAAGCCTGAACTCAGGAAATCAAACTGGAAGACATCGACTTTGAGTCGATCAAGGATCTTTCCATCTTACAGGGCTTATGTGAGATATCTGCGTGGTTGAAGCTCAATCGGGTCCCTCAGCAACCGTTCCAGCCCGCTCCGTCCAACTTGCAGCAGTCACGTCATGCTTTTTGACTCATAGTTGGAGCAGGATTTCGTGCCAGCCGACACCACAGAACTCAAGGCTTAGCTCTGCTTGCTCATATTTGCTGCTGCTTGCCCTCTTGCGCTTGGAGGGCAAAAAACGCCCACGCAGAGCAGCACCTTTTCTCAAGCTTGAAGGCCAAGGTCCCAATTCCAAGAAACCTGGTATGCCAAGCCCCAGATTCAAAAGTCCCAAGGGAAAGCCAGGAATCTCCCTGAGAAACGGCTTCGGGAGCATTCCACTCCCACTGACAGGACCCTGAAGCTTTGAAGGCCCAGACAGTTTTTTTGTAAAACGGGCCTTGCAGTGGACCAACTGTTCGGATGCCGAAGACGATGAGTATATGTAGGACTGCACGGACAAAGCCGTCATAAAGCGGTACCTGAAGCTGCTTGAAGACGATGGTCCGGGCGCCTGAGTAGGGTTGGCAGGAAGTCTACTTAGTACATCTCCTCCCTCAGCTTTTGAGGTTTAAGGCAGAAAGAAAAAGCGTCCCTCAGCTTTTGAGGTTTAAGGCAGAAAGCTGGAGCACAGCCTTCCCAGAACTCCCAGAATGGCCTGCTCAACTATCGTGGACGCCATTGCAGGACTTGCAGGTTTGAGGCCCGGGAACCGAGTCTTTCAACTCCCAGCAAACATTGTCCTCAAAGATCGGTATTACGAAGCCTCAAACCCAAAATGCCTCATCTCCCGCTTGTTTCACCCAAGCCGCAGGGGTAGGGCTTAAGGGCGAATTTTGAAACCAGCCCTCCCGATGGTGAGGCAACTATTTCATCGAGCTCATCAATGCCTGCAAAGATCGGTTGCTGGAGGCTTCGGGGAGAATGACCTGCGTGGCAGGCTGTCGGCCTCTTTGTAGTTCTGGCTCGGGGTCTTGGAGGCGGTTCCTTGCTTGGGGCTGGCAAAAGTCTTCTAGCTTCCGGGCTTCGACCTCCGGGAGTCTCTCAGCTCAAGGCACTGTCGAGCCTCAGAGGGCGAACTGTTCTGCGGGTTTGGACTTTCAAAAATGGCGGTGGGCGCTACTTAGTTCGATGGCATTCCTTATATCCCAAGCTGAAGCATGCGTTGCTATGCTTCGGCACACACACACAGCATTGCGCACAAAAGGCTTTTGGGTCGTGGGAAACTCTGAATCGCAAAACATCTCAGTGCCGAAGCCGATGGAGCAGAAGTTCGACTGTCAGCAGTTTGTATGGTCCGGGGTTGATAGGGCCTCTGCGGAGCTTTGACTATGTGCCAAAGCGAGACGAGTTGTTATTCGGCAGTGGCAGGTTTCACCGAAGGAGTACTACCTCCTGTACCCACGCGCGACGTGGGCGGCTCAGTACACCAGGGAGTTTCTGGGTGCATGCCGCATGGTTAGTGCTTATGGATACCAGCTGGCTGCTCTTTTATTTCCGAAAATTGGAGTTCTGCCTCCATGTAGAAGTTTATCGGCCGTGGAGGTGGCTGAGCAGAAAGACGTACAGAAGAAGACTGATGTCTTCAGGTCTATTGACACGAAGTGCCTGTTTGGAGCAAGTTCCTGCAATCTGCACTTGTTGCGTTGCTGGCGGGCGTTGAGAGCAATGTCGTGCCACTCAGCCATCTGGCTTCTCCCAATCTGGAAGAACACCTCCCAAGCCCAACTGCGAAATCTACTACATCCGTAGCAGCCTCCTCATCATTCCCCTAGAGCAAGAGCTTGAGAAGATAGAGGCAGATGGATTTCAGTTTCCTTCGAATTAATCTGCTGCGGCTCTACTCTATGTCTTTATCTGCAGATTCTTACCTCCCTGACACCACCTGTCAAGCAAAAACTGACAACACGAAATGGGTCGCGACTCGTTGATTGCCGAGGTGACGACTCATTATTTAAAGTCCATGTCTGTTAAGCTACACTGAAAAAGGGCCCAGGCCCAGGCCCCCGAGCCTCCCATGCATGTTTCCTCGCTGCGGCTTCTGCTGCTTCTGCTTCTGCCGCTGGCTTCTGGCCTCGTTGCTGAGAGCTGCGGGGTCTCTCGGCCCCTCTTCAAGGACCCGGGGGGCGGGGGGACCCGGCGCGAAAGCGAACGCCGACACTCAAAAAGTATTCAGTTTTTGAGCGCGACTTTGCGGAGGATGCCAGCGTCAAGGTGGATCCC